GTCCGCGCTCGTTACAGAAAGGATAGCGGCTCAGTGCGTCATCCGCGAAACTCTATTCGCCCCTGGCGAAATCGATAACTAAACGAAATCTCGAGAGAAAGTCCATCCCCAGAATGGCTGGTACTGCCAGATTCGGTAAAAAGCCAATCTTGGCGTCCCTGCAATTCGAGAATAACGTCCGCTGACTCGTCCAGCGTGGTCAGCGTCCCGTCCGCCAGACGGATCCGGGATGACACGGCACTCGAAAACGATATTCCCTGCTCGCGGATTGCGTCGATACCCTCTGCACCAAAAAGGGTTCGATCCGAACCGGTATCGACCAATCCGAGCAGGGGATAGTCACCAACTAATATTTCGATAAAACGCAGGGACGCACGCTCGCTCCCTTCAAACGCACCATATGAGCTCGCTACTTTCTGTTTCTTTTCGCGGGTCTCGGAAGCGGGAGGAAACGCAGGGACCCTCTCTAACGCCTCCTTCCCCCGTTTCCCGCAGCGATAACAGTGGATGCGCGGGGGCACGTGACACTTGCGCGCCAAATGACCGGTCGACTCGCAGTTCCAACATTTGTCGGAACTGCTACGCGCGGCCGGTCCGGAGGCAGGTTCCCCGGCAGTTTCCTGCCGGGTACTTCTCCTCGCCCCCATTCCCGCGCCCGCGGCTCGAGGGATCGCCCCGCGATTCTCTCTCACCGGAGCCGGTGGGGTCGCCCCTGCCGGTCGACGCGTCGCCTCGGCGGCGCTCGGACGCTCACGCTCACTAATTGTTTCCCGCTCCGCGACTCGGTAATTCGGTAATTGTTCAGCCGTCATCGTCGGAGACGGCCGAGACGAGCGCGGTGGCGGCCGGTAGGCGAGATCCGGACATACGGATCTCTCGGGAGGCGGAGGCACGGTACTGACTCACGGCAGCGTAACTTCGCTTGACGCGCGTAGCGAGCCTCTCTAACGCGTCGATAGTCACGAAATCATCGTGGTGTACGGCGATCTGTAGACGCGGGAGCATATTCCGATGCGCGTAATTCATTAGTTCGACCTCACTCCACGGTGGGTCGAGCCGCCCGAACAGCCCGCGCATGCACGTCAAATAGTCGGCGACCGGCTCGTGCTCCCCCTGCGTGCGTCGCAGGATCTGGTCGCGCAGCGCGAATTGGAAGTCGGGGTCGCCGAATCGTGCGCGCATTGCGACCTCGAACTCGCGCCACGAAACCCATCGAGACTTCCCGACTCGGTATCACTCCAACGTTATGCCGGTAAGGAAAAACGGCATACACTTCATTAAATCGGTATCGGCAATCGGTACGATATCCCGCCCCTCCGAAATCCGCAGGAGGAACGCCTCCACGTCGCTCCCCCTAGCTCCGGAAAAACTTATATTCCAGCGACGCATTACGTTGTATGCGTCGCTGGTCGACATGGTGGGATGACTCGGGCGCATTTCCGGCCCTCGAGTCGGCGACCTCGGAACTGGCGGTACGATAACGGTGGCGGCGGTACCGCCTGGTACGGCGACGATATTCGCACCGTCGGCACTTTCAAGGTGTCGGGAGCTATCTTCCCCGGCTCGAGGATTGTTCGTTCGACGAACTCGGGTTTCTCCAACTTCCCCCCGACGTCATCGCGCGACAGTGGCGGACATATCGCGTCCTCCGCCGGTGACGACGGTGGAGGGTCTCGGCGCTCGGCTCGCTCGTAGCAGAGCAAGCGGACACGGAGCGTCGCCGCGTTGCCCATTGCATTTATCCCGCGCGCCGTCGCTTGGTCTCGTAGCTGCTCTAATGACACTTCGTAGACCCACGCTTCGCGGTCCGTGTCTTCCGGCATTCTTCGACGCTATTCCTTGCCGCGAACGAGACGGAAACGGTAATATGAGCGCAGCGAGAAAAACGCAAACTAAATTTGGTGTGGAGGCGACAAGCCTGACAGGAGCCTCCCCAATGGCGCTATTAATCGTTACGATACACGAAGAGACGTCACCAACGGAAAAAACCGGTCTTCAACACAAATACTCACACAAATACTTTCGTTGCTAATAAGACAACAGCACCGGGACACCACCACAGCGAGAGCAGCCTCGATATCCCGAGCCGAGCGTGATCACGAAAAGAAACAAAAAAAAAACGAACGGAAACAGCCGGGAACTCGAGAACAACGATAGATGGTCTCGTGCGTGCCGAAAATCCACACGAAAAAAAATTCGAAAACACGGAAAGTCGTGCTAGAAGTCGGCAAAAACCGGAACACGAAAAACGGCAACCGCTCGAGACGTGTCAAAAAAAACGAAACATTTCGTTGTTCTCCCGACTCTTTGTTTGTTTAAATTTTCCCCGTCCCTTTGTCCCGACGGAATAGCTGAAATTAGCTCTTTATTGTCGGGCCCCACGTTGGGCGCCAAAAATTTGCGACGTTACTCTCCTTTCGCCGTCGGCCCACGCGCCCCGGCCGCTCATATTCGCACCAAAGGGTTGGGCGCCAGGTGCAGCGGGCTGCACCGATCACCAACACGAAAACGAAATACGTAACGATCGGCCGCGACGCGAGAGTTCGACGGACCCGGTAGCTCCTCGATATTTTGAGTCGGTAGACGGGAGGGTTCGATCGGGAATCCGGGAAGTTATCGGGAAAAATGCAAAAATGCGGTATGCTATTCAGTACTGCGATTTATTCGGTATCGGTATTCACTACGCTCCGGAATCCCGCAGGCCGGTACAAATACCCGCCGCGTTATTTCCGCGGGATCGGTACTGCTTGCGCTCACAATCAATTGACGGGACGAGACACCGAAACGTTAAAGCAGGTGGACGGTCTTACGTGTACGGGAACCTCCCGGCGGCGTGGTCTTCGACGGTCGGCGTGTCGGTCGTTCCGGTCACACGGCTAGCGGCAGCTCTGTTCTCTCCGGGCCACGGGTCGCTCACAATAATTTTTTTTTCTTGGTTGTTTTCGGCACGGTCGGAACACCTAAAAACTTAATTTCTCGAGGGTGAGCGGAACACCAAAACTTCTCTTCTTCGAGAGCGGCAAATGAATATATCTCTTTCGAGCGCGAAAACCGGAAGCTGAGGCTCTTTTCTACTCGAGGCCAAAATCGAATCTAAATCTTTTTTCTCGAGACGAAAAACGAATCTTCTTCTCCTTCCAACGGCAAACATGGAATCTCTTTCTTTTCCTCCGTTTTTGCGTGGGGTTCTCCTCTCCCCGTTCCTCGCCTTCTCTAGCGGTACCGCAATCCTTCCGCGGATCATTGTTGTTGCTCCGCGGAACGGAAGCTTTGTCTCTCTCTCTCTCTCTCCGTCTCTCTCTCTCTCTCTCTCTCTCTCTCTCTTTCTCTCTCTCTCTCTCTCTCTCTCTCTCTCTCTCGCGGCGTCCCGCGAGCATGTTTCTCGGTCTGTCTAGCCGTTGTTTTTCGGCTAGCGGTCCATGCGTCGAGAACGAGCTGGTCGGTATCCCGCCTCGCTTCTTCCGTCTCCTTCAGCGTGGTCTGACAACAAACACGACAACCGGTAATCTCGATCGGGACGACATATATTTTTCTAATAAGAACGATAATCGAGAGCAATCATCTGATTGACACGTGCCTGGCGATGAGCGGAGTCCTTTAAATTCCTCCTGCTCCTCCTGTCCTGCTGGTCGGCTCGGGAGGTCCAGGGGCACAAAATTGCGGGACGCGAGACCATCGCACCTGCACGCTCTTAACTCTAACTTCTAATTAATACGGGGGGGCAATACGGCTCCTCTCCCCTGCAATTCTCGCGCGATACTCTTTTCCCCCCCGCAAACCTTGCGTAGGGACCGATGGTTCGCACTGTGACGGGCGCCTTCACGGCCGCCACGGCACAATATATGTTAGGTTTCTTAATTGGCGCTACTGTTCTAATATATCACTTCTTTTGTACAGTAGAATAGTGTTGTAGTGTTTTATTATAGTTATAAGTTTTACTTGTAAAAACTTATATTACGTACACATATATGCTTTAAAAAAATAATTTGAGTTTAAAATTTCTAAAAATAACACAATATGTATTGCGCTTGTATAATTTTTATAACGATATAATTTTTACTTTTAAAAGTTTATGTACATATATTATTTTTTAAATTTTGGACACTATTAATAAACGTGTTAAATTTTTATAATACTATATAATTTTTACTTTTAAAAGCTTATGTACATATATATCTTGAAAGAAAAATAATTTGATAAGTTTTATTTGTAAAATAGATTTTTCGGTTGCACAGCTGATCAGATCGCCCCAGCTGACCAACAATCAAATGACGAGCGTCATTACATACCATGGCGCATGACAATATTCTCACCGTGTTATTTTCAAAAATTCACTCTCTCACTCTCACACTCTTACACTGTCTCACTTTCTCATCCCATCACTCCCTTACTCTCACTCTTACACTCACACTCACTTTCTCACTCCTAAACCCTCTCACGCTCTCTCACTCTCTGTCTCTCTCGCTTTCTCTCTCTCATCCTCTCTCATTTTCTCTCATTCTCTCTCTCACCCTTTCTCATTTTCTCTCATTCTCTCTCATTCATTCTCTTTCATTCTCTCTTATTCTCTTTCATTATCTCCCATTCTCTTCCATTCTTTCCCATGCTCTCCCAATCTCTCCCATTCTCTCTCATTCTTTCTCATTTTCTCTCATTCTCTCTCATTTTCTCTCTCACTTTCACACTTTCACTCACTCCCAAACCCTCTTACGCTCTCTCACTTTCCCACTCTCTCTCTCTCTCTCTCTCTCTCTCTCTCTCTCTCTCTCTCTCTCTCATTCTCTTTCATTCTCTCCTAATCTCTCCTATTCTCTCTCATTTTCTCTCTCACTCCCAAATCCTCTCACGCTCTCTCATTCTCTCTCTCTCTCTAATAAAAATCATTATTTTATTTATTATTATTATTATATTATATTTATTTTATTTATTACATAAATATATTATTACTATAATTATTATTATTATAATTGTATATTAAATACATATATAATTTTGTTACATTTTTATTTATTTTATGTATTGGCCGCGTCCTGCTCTCCCACGTCCACGACGGACCTTCCAGATTACTCGGCTTCTGCCAGCACTAATACCCCTTGATCGGGAATTATTTGCTGTAATATAAAAAAAATAATATTATACACATATACATACATATACACATATACATACATATATACATATACATAAATACGTACATATTAATAATATAAAATTAAATCCACTTACCAGAAGTATCCTCTTTTTTTGTAATTAATGTTTTAAGTTGGGCCTCTATTTTGTCTAATTGCGTTTTCTTGCTCTATAGCGATTTTTTGCAATTCGTCCTCCATATCGTCCATATTATCCATACGATTCTCAACCTTTTTTCTTTTTTCGCGGCGGTGTGAAGTCCTTGAGATTTTCTATAGCACGAATGTCCGAAGCTTCTTTCTGCGCAAATTCGTAAACTTTCTTGCATGTTTTTGTTAATAATCATTTTTGTTAATAATCATCATACTTACTTCTTAATCACTGATATTTAACCAGAAAATATCCTAATCAATCACTAATGTATCCCACTGATGATGACGATATATCAATCACTAATGTATCCCACTGATGATGATGACGATGCACCGATATTGCGTACTTCATGTATGTATATATATAATATAATATTCTTAATCAATCACTGATGTTTAATCAAAAAAATCCTAATCAATCACTATAATGTATATCCCACTGATGACGATGCACTAATGTTGCGTACTTAACCCACCATTTCTTCCTAATGTTGCGTATACGCAACATGAAGTTTAACTTCACAAAATGCAGTCAAAATGAACTTATTATCACAATGTAACACTTCGTGAAAAAAAATAATTACTGACGTCAGTAATTAATTAAACACCTCGTGTTGCGTATACGCAACATTGCGAAGAAATAGGTTAATGTATGTATACTACATTATACTACGTTATAAAAAGATTGAAGAGCCATCTCTCTAGACAATCAAAAAGCACCTCTCTCTTAGCTTAAGACTCCATGCATGCGGTGAGCTCCGGCAAACGGCTGCGGTGACCAATCAGGAGACAGACGCATGCCGGAGCTTGCCGCAACCGGACTTGCGCCTCCCTCCTGATTGGTCACCGCAACCGTTTGCCGCAACTCACCGCATGCATGGAGTCTTAGCTTTACTCTCCCTCGCTTGCTCGCTTGCTCGCATTCGCTGCTATCTGCTCTTCAGCGCTCTCGTAGCGCCCCAGTGATGCGATTCTGTAACTCGTTATTGGAGTTAACGACACTTTCGTTATCGTTGCGCAGCTTTTGTATACTGTAGAAAAGCTGCGCAACAATAACGAAACTGTCGTTAACTCCAATAACGAGTTACAGAATCGCACCACTGGTGTCGGGAAAGCAATGTGCACGTTTTGCTCCACTCCTTTGCGTCCGCCGTTTCTTACTGAATCGAAATTTCCCGTGATTCAGAATTTATCTTAAAATATCTCCACTTAGAGACAACGTACACAAAAAGCACAAAAACACTTTTCTTCCTATTTTTGAAGGCCGAATCGATTGGGTATAAAAAAACCTCGATCGGTTCGGCCATTGCTGAGATATGAAAATCTCACCTCGTTTCAACTCGGAGTTTCGCGTATAATATAAAAATATAATAATATATATAATAATATAATATAAAATATAATATAATAATAGGCATTACCGTGCCTCTTGATCGCTCGATCGATAACACTGCTCAAATCGTCTCGTCGACGCGTCGCGCCACCGATAGAAGAAAGATTCCGACCACGCCCCCCTTCCCCCTACGATGCTCGCTCGTCGAGGAATGAACGGGAGCGGCTATTTTCGAAGCGACAGTAAAACGCGAACCATCGCGAGACACGTTCAAAGATGCACCGAGAAACATAATGTCGTCTGTCGCGACAGCAACAGTATCGCCTTGACGCAATTGAAAGCGAGTGTTTCGACGACAAACGATCGTCCGTCAACGAGCACTGCCGCGACGCCGATTAATCACCGACCGATATGGATCGACGAGTTCGAAGTGGAACGTCGACGAGAGAAACGCGAAACATTCAGCGCCGCGGTCGCGGCGATCGACAACAAACCGTTTTTCTCTCGCACGTGAGTCAACGAGTAGTTCTTCCCCTAATACCGTATCGCGACACACGATTCACGTATCTTTTTTTCGTTACAGAATGTCGCTGTTGCTGTCGCATTCAGCGAAAATGGTTGCTCCATATAACGACAGGAGTGATACTGTTATCGCTGACAATGACCGGTCTGACCAATGAGAAAGGCCGGCGAATCATCGAGCAGCAACCGTATTACATACCACCGTCCTATCCGGCGATAAAAACCGGCGAAAAAAAAGTCTTTCATCACGACAACGCCAGACCACACGTTTCGAAAAAGACGCTGCGCAAACTGAAGAGCCTGAAATGGGATGTCTTAACGCATCCACCGTATTCTCCTGATATCGCACCATCTGACTATCACTTGTTCCGGTCATTGCAAAATTATTTAAATGGAAAAAACTTTGACTCTTTGGAGGGCTTAAAAAACGGCGTCTCTTCGTTCTTCGAATCTAAACCGTGCAGTTTTTATGATCGAGGCATCCGTATGCTGTCAGAACGTTGGGAAAAGATTATAGAAAACGATGGAGAATATATCATTGATTGAATAAAGATTTTTGTTTGCCTAATCACTGTGTGACTTTTACTCACAAACTCCGCACGAACTTTTGCACTCACCCGATACTATCATAGTGCCCTAACTTTTATTAACCTATCGATCTTTGGAAATTTTAAAATAATTATATTAACAAAAATCACGGCACTATTGTAACAATATATTCTTGATACTAAATAAACCAAGAAAGTCTCGTACCACTTTTCCTTCCGACAAATAGCGAGATATCATAAGTTAAATATTGAAAAAGTTATCAAGTTTTCCTCAAATATCTCAAAAAATATTAGGTAACTAAAAACATGTTTTAGACAAGAGTTGTTCAAATTAATTGGTAGAAAAAAGAACAGTAATAAAAAATAGAGTTTCGTATTTAAATTTTTCAAGTTGACTTCCAAATGACTTTGAAGGTCATGGCCAAGGTCAAATTCAAGGTCACCATCAAGTCCGTTACTCGATTTTCTACAACTTTTGTATTTAAAGTTTTTCATGAAAATTTGATTCTGCAAAGTTATCCGGGGGGTGTAGTATTTTTTAGACACCCTGTATATATAATATATATATCTTTTTTTCAATTGGATGTACAATTATATCATTCGTACTATTGGAAGGGAAGAGCCCAGATTCAATTTGGAGAGATAATATAACTCCCATGAATTATCGTTCTACACTGAGGTAACTACATATCTGAACGCAAAATTTGTCTTCCCACTTCCGCTATCGAAATAGAGAGTAACCATTTAAACAACTAGACTGACCTTGAAGTGGCCTTCAAAATGACAATTGAATAACTAGTTTCACTATGAAATGACCTTTAAATTGAAATTTGAATTAAAATGTTCATATCTCCGCTTCTACTGGGAATTGAGAGTCGAGATTTATGGTGAGAATAGGGTTGATACTGGACTATTTTGAGGCAAATGCGCGTTCCTGTATCTTGAGCCGTTTAGGAGATACCGAAGGTTACATTTCTTAATTTTAAGTTAATTTTAATTGAAATTTGAATTTAAATGTTCATATCTCCGCTTCTACTGCGAATTGAGAGTCGAAATTTATGGTGAGAATAGGGTTGATACAGTACTATATTGAGGCAAAAGCGCGTTCCTGTATCTTGAGCCGTTTAGGAGATACCGAAGGTTACGTTTTTAAATTTTAAGTTAATTTTAATTGAAATTTGAATTTAAATGTTTATATCTCCGCTTCTACTGGGAATTGAGAGTCGAGATTTATGGTGAGAATAGGGTTGATACAGGACTATATTGAGGCAAAAGCGCGTTCCTGTATCTTGAGCCGTTTAGGAGATACCGAAGGTTACATTTTTAAATTTTAAGTTAATTTTAATTGAAATTTGAATTTAAATGTTCATATCTCCGCTTCTACTGGGAATTGAGAGTCGAGATTTATGGTGAGAATAGGGTTGATACAGGACTATATTGAGGCAAAAGCGCGTTCCTGTATCTTGAGCCGTTTAGGAGATACCGAAGGTTACATTTTTTAATTTTAAGTTAATTTTAATTGAAATTTGAATTTAAATGTTCATATCTCCGCTTCTACTGGGAATTGAGAGTCGAGATTTATGGTGAGGATAGGGTTGATACAGGACTATATTGAGGCAAAAGCGCGTTCCTGTATCTTAAGCCATTTAGGAGATACCGAAGGTTACATTTTTAAATTTTAAGTTAATTTTAATTGAAATTTGAATTTAAATGTTCATATCTCCGCTTCTACTGGGAATTGAGAGTCGAGATTTATGGTGAGGATAGGGTTGATACAGGACTATATTGAGGCAAAAGCGCGTTCCTGTATCTTAAGCCATTTAGGAGATACCGAAGGTTACATTTTTAAATTTTAAGTTAATTTTAATTGAAATTTGAATTTAAATGTTCATATCTCCGCTTCTACTGGGAATTGAGAGTCGAGATTTATGGTGAAAATAGGGTTGATACAGGACTATATTGAGGCAAAAGCGCGTTCCTGTATCTTGAGCCATTTAGGAGATACCGAAGGTTACATTTTTAAATTTTAAGTTAATTTTAATTGAAATTTGAATTTAAATGTTCATATCTCCGCTTCTACTGGGAATTGAGAGTCGAGATTTATGGTGAGAATAGGGTTGATACTGGACTATTTTGAGGCAAATGCGCGTTCCTGTATCTTGAGCCGTTTAGGAGATACCGAAGGTTACATTTTTTAATTTTAAGTTAATTTTAATTGAAATTTGAATTTAAATGTTCATATCTCCGCTTCTACTGGGAATTGAGAGTCGAAATTTATGGTAAGAATAGGGTTGATACAGGACTATGTTGAGGCAAAAGTGCATTCCTGTATCTTGAGCCGTTTAGGAGATACCGAAGGTTACATTTTTTAATTTTAGTTAATTTTAATTGAAATTTGAATTTAAATGTTCATATCTCCGCTTCTACTGGGAATTGAGAGTCGAGATTTATGGTGAGAATAGGGTTGATACAGGACTATATTGAGGCAAAAGCGCGTTCCTGTATCTTGAGCCGTTTAGGAGATACCGAAGGTTACATTTTTAAATTTTAAGTTAATTTTAATTGAAATTTGAATTTAAATGTTCATATCTCCGCTTCTACTGGGAATTGAGAGTCGAAATTTATGGTGAGAATAGGGTTGATACAGGACTATATTGAGGCAAAAGCGCGTTCCTGTATCTTGAACCATTTAGGAGATACCGAAGGTTACATTTTTAAATTTTAAGTTAATTTTAATTGAAATTTGAATTTAAATGTTCATATCTCCGCTTCTACTGGGAATTGAGAGTCGAGATTTATGGTGAGAATAGGGTTGATACTGGACTATTTTGAGGCAAATGCGCGTTCCTGTATCTTGAGCCGTTTAGGAGATACCGAAGGTTACATTTTTTAATTTTAAGTTAATTTTAATTGAAATTTGAATTTAAATGTTCATATCTCCGCTTCTACTGGGAATTGAGAGTCGAAATTTATGGTAAGAATAGGGTTGATACAGGACTATGTTGAGGCAAAAGTGCATTCCTGTATCTTGAGCCGTTTAGGAGATACCGAAGGTTACATTTTTTAATTTTAGTTAATTTTAATTGAAATTTGAATTTAAATGTTCATATCTCCGCTTCTACTGGGAATTGAGAGTCGAGATTTATGGTGAGAATAGGGTTGATACAGGACTATATTGAGGCAAAAGCGCGTTCCTGTATCTTGAGCCGTTTAGGAGTACCGAAGGTTACATTTTTAAATTTTAAGTTAATTTTAATTGAAATTTGAATTTAAATGTTCATATCTCCGCTTCTACTGGGAATTGAGAGTCGAAATTTATGGTGAGAATAGGGTTGATACAGGACTATATTGAGGCAAAAGCGCGTTCCTGTATCTTGAGCCATTTAGGAGATACCGAAGGTTACATTTTTAAATTTTAAGTTAATTTTAATTGAAATTTGAATTTAAATGTTCATATCTCCGCTTCTACTGGGAATTGAGAGTCGAGATTTATGGTGAGAATAGGGTTGATACAGGACTATATTGAGGCAAAAGCGCGTTCCTGTATCTTGAGCCGTTTAGGAGATACCGAAGGTTACATTTTTTAATTTTAAGTTAATTTTAATTGAAATTTGAATTTAAATGTTCATATCTCCGCTTCTACTGGGAATTGAGAGTCGAAATTTATGGTGAGAATAGGGTTGATACAGGACTATATTGAGGCAAAAGCGCGTTCCTGTATCTTGAGCCGTTTAGGAGATACCGAAGGTTACATTTTTTAATTTTAGTTAATTTTAATTGAAATTTGAATTTAAATGTTCATATCTCCGCTTCTACTGGGAATTGAGAGTCGAGATTTATGGTGAGAATAGGGTTGATACAGGACTATATTGAGGCAAAAGCGCGTTCCTGTATCTTGAGCCGTTTAGGAGATACCGAAGGTTACATTTTTAAATTTTAAGTTAATTTTAATTGAAATTTGAATTTAAATGTTCATATCTCCGCTTCTACTGGGAATTGAGAGTCGAGATTTATGGTGAGAATAGGGTTGATACAGGACTATATTGAGGCAAAAGCGCGTTCCTGTATCTTGAGCCGTTTAGGAGATACCGAAGGTTACATTTTTAATTTTAAGTTAATTTTAATTGAAATTTGAATTTAAATGTTCATATCTCCGCTTCTACTGGGAATTGAGAGTCGAGATTTATGGTGAAATAGGGTTGATACAGGACTATATTGAGGCAAAAGCGCGTTCCTGTATCTTGAGCCATTTAGGAGATACCGAAGGTTACATTTTTAAATTTTAAGTTAATTTTAATTGAAATTTGAATTTAAATGTTCATATCTCCGCTTCTACTGGGAATTGAGAGTCGAAATTTATGGTGAGAATAGGGTTGATACAGGACTATATTGAGGCAAAAGCGCGTTCCTGTATCTTGAGCCGTTTAGGAGATACCGAAGGTTACATTTTTAAATTTTAAGTTAATTTTAATTGAAATTTGAATTTAAATGTTCATATCTCCGCTTCTACTGGGAATTGAGAGTCGAAATTTATGGTGAGAATAGGGTTGATACAGGACTATATTGAGGCAAAAGCGCGTTCCTGTATCTTGAGCCGTTTAGGAGATACCGAAGGTTACATTTTTAATTTTAAGTTAATTTTAATTGAAATTTGAATTTAAATGTTCATATCTCCGCTTCTACTGGGAATTGAGAGTCGAGATTTATGGTGAGAATAGGGTTGATACAGGACTATATTGAGGCAAAAGCGCGTTCCTGTATCTTGAGCCGTTTAGGAGATACCGAAGGTTACATTTTTAAATTTTAAGTTAATTTTAAT